TCATCAGTTGAGACTGAGTGTTGAGAGTGTTATTGTATGGGGATGAAAAGGCAGAAGGAGGCAGAAAAATAAAATGGAGAGAAAAACAAAGGGTGCACAAAGGGTGGGATGCTCAACAGACTGAGCCACCCAGGTGCCCCCATATAGTATAACTTGAAAGTTCCTATGTGACATCTTAGTTAAAAACAGGTTAATAATAACAGTGTTAAAAAGAAACAAGGTTACAGCAACAATAAGCTTGGAACTAAATCCAAATGAAATTCTCTCTATAAATCTGAAAATCTTCTCATAAAATTTTACGTGTTAGACCAAATCAAATGTATGTTCTATTGCTCTCAGAGTCCCAAATGAAAAAACACAAGCTACACATTCCAAACAACTTTTCTAAGAACTCTGCGTAGTCTTAAATGAAACACTCCTTTATCTAAGGCCCATTTCAATACATTCCAAAGTAATGAGTTCCAATTCAGTTATCTCATCACTCAGTATGAAAATGAGTTATCTGAAAATTAAAACTCACTCTAGCATACATGCCATGTCAGCAACAAATTCACAAACCTGGTCTTCAAAAACCTATGCCAAAAAAAATTTTAACTCAGGGGCGCCTGGGTGGCTCAGTCGTTGGGTGTCTGCCTTCGGCTCAGGTCATGATTCCAGGGTCCTGGGATCGAGCCCCGCATCGGGCTCCCTGCTCAGTGGGGAGACTGCTTCTCCCTCTCCCACTCCCCCTGCTTGTGTTCCCTCTCTCGCTGTCTCTGTGTCAAATAAATAAATAAAATCTTTTAAAAAATTTTTTTTTACTCAAATAATTTACTTTTTTTTTTAAGATATTTTTATTTTGGGGCGCCTGGGTGGCTCAGTTGGTTAAACGACTGCCTTCGGCTCAGGTCATGATCCTGGAGTCCCGGGGTCGAGTCCCGCATCGGGCTCCCTGCTCAGCCGGGAGTCTGTTTCTCCCTCTGACCCTCTTCCCTCTCGTGCTCTCTATCTCTCATTCTCTATCTCTCATAAATAAATAAAATCTTTAAAAAAAAAAAAAAAAAGATATTTTTATTTTGAGGCGCCTGGGTGGCTCAGTGGGTTAAGCGACCGCCTTCGGCTCAGGTCATGATCCTGGAGTCCCGGGATCGAGTCCCACATCAGGCTCCCTGCTTGGCGGGGAGTCTGCTTCTCCCTCTGACCCTCCTCCCTCTCGTGCTCTCTATCTCTCATTCTCTCTCTCAAATAAATAAATCTTTAAAAAAAAAGATATTTTTATTTTGGGGATGCCTGGGTGGCTTGGTCAGTTAAGCGACTGTCTTCGGCTCTGGTCATGATCCCAGGGTCGAGATCAAGCCCCACATCAGGCTCTGTGCTCAGTTTGGAGTCAGCTTGAGACTCTCTCCCTCTGCCCCTCCCCCCACTCACACTCTTGCTCTTTCTCTTAATAACCGTGAAAAAAAATTTTTTTAGAGGCCCTGGGTGGCTCAGTCATTAAGTGTCTGCCTTCAGCTAGGGTCGTGATCCCGGGGTCCTGAGATCAAGCCCCGCGTCAGGCTCCCTGCTCAGTGGGAGGCCTGCTTCTCCCTCTCCTACTCCCCCTGCTTATGTTCCGTCTCGCTCGCTCTGTCAAAAAAATAAAATCTTTAAAAAATTAAAAAACTCAAACCTGATTAATTTGGTTCTTGGACTTAAAAATGAAAAAAAAAAAGGAGTCCATTCCTAAATATTTGACAGTTGGGTCAAAATTATTTCAAAACTAACCACAGGCTTAAACGGTGATATTCCCTGTTCTTAAGTCTTCCCTCTTGGGCACCTGGGTGGCTCATTCGTTAAGCGTCTGCCTTTGGCTCAGGTCATGATCCCAGGGTCCTGGGATCGAGGCCCACATCAGGCTCCCTGCTCAGCAGGGAAGCCTGCTTCTCCCTCTCCCTCTCTGCCTGCTTGTGTTCCCTCACTCGCTGTCTCTGTCAAATAAATAAATCTTTAAAAAAAAAAGTCTTCCCTCTCAACTTCCTTCAAGTTACATCTTCACTCTCCTTTGGGGGTGGGGTGGGGGGAGGGGAGAAAATAGCTGTTTCCAAAACCTATCCGTGAACCACCACTCTACCAGTCAACACAACCAGCGCCATACACTCCACTTTTAAAGGACACTCCATTTACTCAAATTAACTAAGAGCCAACTAATATTTGTTGACCTCATAGGATTAATAAACAAAATAAAATTTAACAGAGAAACTTCACAATCTGTGAATTCACGCAGGCATTCATCAAACAAAAAAAGTGTCTTATAACAACACATCTTAAGTCATCATTTTTAAAAAGGATTGGGAACTTGGGGCACCTGGGTGGCTCAGTGGGTTAAGCATCTGACTCTTGATTTCAGCTCAGGTCAGGATCTCAGGGTCGTGGGATCAAGCCCTTGGGTGGGGCTCTGCACTCAGAGCAAGTCTGCTTGTTCCTCTCCCTTGGCATCTCCCTCCCACCTCAGCCCCCTCTCCGCTTGCACACAGTCGAGCTAATAAATACATAAAATCCTTTAAAAAAAATAAAATAAAAAGGACTGGGGAATCAATACTTCAAGAGTAACACTTCCAAAGTAAAGGCTTCACTTCACACCAGTTCAAAAGTTCAACACTGGTTTATACTTTCTTCATGTAGTGTACTGTTAAAGGAGTAGATATAGCAACCAGTTCCCATCAAAACACAAGGGCCTATTGAAATTAACCATTCTTCGCCAAGTTCTCCTACCATTTCTCCCTAAACAATAAAACTCACTCAGGTTAATACCAAGAGACACTGCTGGTGAATACTGCACAGGCTGCATCAGTTACCAGGAAAAGGAAGCGAGGTGTTATTGTTGTTCTAGCCTTGTTCTAAAGGCAGCTCCATGTGACTGCGGCTGGTCCAGCCCACATTTAAAGAGAGAGGCCAGAGGAAACCAGAGCAGCAGGAAACAGGCAGGAGAAGCAATTACCACAACCCTTTCCCATGGCCTCATTTCCATGCCACCACTTCCAGCCATATTTCAATCACAACAAAAAACTCTCCCTTCTCTGAATTAATTTGAGGGTCGGAAGCAACAAGGAAGCAAATAGGGGAAATCAGAGCTGTGGAAAACTAGCAGGACAGAGGTGGGGGAAATCTCATCACACATGTGAACTAGCCTTAAGGAGGAAAAATCAGATGGAACATACTGGAGATAAGCAGAAGAGCAGTGTGGGAAACTAGTCACTTCTGCATGATAAGTGTTCACAGCAATGGGAGGATGATAGCCCCAGCCAAAGGGCCCTGCAGGTACATAAGAGATATTGGTGGACTGTAAGACTCTATGGTCTCCAAAGAGTGGAAATTACTCCCTTTCCTGAAACATCACAATCTAGGCATCCAATGCCAAGGATACAGAAGAACTCAGGTATTAGCTTCATCTTCCTTCCACCATTATTAGACAAACTGACACTAAAAATTGGGATGTACAATACATGACAAAAAGTGAGGAATACACTACTGACATAACTCTTGGTTTAAAAAGTATACCATAGGGCGCCTGGGTGGCTCAGTCATTAAGCATCTGCCTTCAGCTCAGGTCAGGATCCCAGGGTCCTGGGATCGAGCTCCACATTGGGCTCCCTGCTCAGCGGGAAGCCTGCTTCTCCCTCTCCCACTCCCTCTGCTTGTGTTCCCTCTGTCAAATAAATAAAATCTTTTTAAAAAAAAAAGTATACCATAAAATTAATTAAAAGTATACTATAGGGCGCCTGGGTGGCTCAGTTGGTTAAGCAACTGCCTTCGGCTCAGGTCATGATCCCAGGGTCCTCAGATCGAGCCCCGCATCGGGCTCCCTGCTCGGCGGGAAGCCTGCTTCTCCCTCTCCCACTCCCCTTGCTTGTGTTCCCTCTCTGTCTCTCTCTCTCTCTCTCTCTCTGTCAATTAAATAAATAAAATCTTTTTTTTAAAAAAAGTATACTATAATTGAAGAGAAAATATAAAAGGTCTGGGTTCACCCAAAAAGTTAATTATATGCCCTTCGAATAAAAGATGTTTGGATACCTTATAAAGACCTTCAAAAGCTTTTAACTGTTAGGGCACAAAAGGGCCGAAGACAAGCCTAACTACTAACAGACCATACACCTCGGACATAAGTAGAAACCAATATACAACAGAGGTGGTAGTAAGCTACAAGATTATGTCAAACAGGAAATAACAGGAATGATGACGGGATCAACTCCTAGAGAGAACAAGGATATGAGATCAGAGTGGCGGCACTTGAGATGCTTGGGGAAAAAACGAGATTGAAAACCGAGGGGAAAAGGTGGGAAAGCCAAGTGGGAAAGTGATTCAGAGGCAAAGAAAACGGAAATGTAATACACTAAAGAGTAACATAGAACTTTGGTTTACAGGGTGCTCTCAAAACTGTTTTTAAAAACTCTGATAAAACCAGACTAGAGGAACCGGGACTGAGGAGAAAGAAACTGAGTCCCCAGAGTCTAACACCAAAACCAACCAGAATGAAAAGGAGTAGAATCTAACTATTCCTCCGGGTAAACCAAGAAAGGTTCAGAGCGCACAAGTTGGGCTCTAAGATGTCCAGTCCCAAGACTAGCGACAGACGTGAAAACGGGAAGGTGGCCAGGATGGGGAGCATCAGCGTGGCGCGGGAGCTCCAGCGGACAGACAGGGAGGGACAGAGGTGGGAGAGAAAACCACACCCTCCAGGGCAGAAACCCGAAGGGGGGAGGGGAAGGCGCCCCCTGGGGTTGGGTGGGGCCAGGCCGACTAGGACCGGAGTAGGCAGGAAGAAGCACAGGGCGACCCGCAGGGAGAGGAAGGAAGGCGCCCAGGCCTGGGCATACTGAGGACGCCTGAAGCTGGCGAGGAACGCTTGGCCCGATCTTCATGAGTGGGCGCTGGGGCAGTATGAAGAGCGTTCGAGGAAAGAAGAGCTGAACCCAGGACTAGAAAGCGCACGCTGCTACGCTCAGGGCTCTGGAACAGGAAAGGAGAGAGAGGGTGCCAATTACCGCTGCTGTTCTCGCTGGACTCGGAACCAGCTGCCGCCGCCGCCGCCGCTCGTTACCTGCCAATGTGCCTCTTACAAAGCGGCGGCGGCGGCAGAGGCGGCCCGGCCCGTCACGTGACCTCTGCGTCATGAGCGAAGGAGGAGCCACCACGCGACGTTCGCTCGGGGCTCGTCAGCCCGCCCACCGAGCGCGTCGGTTCCTCCGGCCTCCCCCGTGCCAACTGGGAGAGGCCAACAGCGCCGAGGCGGGGGTAGGCACCGGGAAGGAGCAAATAAGGGAGACCTTATAAAATTTCTCGTACTCAGAGCTGTCAGAAGGGTACTACATACCGCATCCAAGATGCCCACAACGGCAGCTTGTCGCGCTGTGATGACCTCACAAGGCACCACGAGTCGCTCCCCTGCGGCCGCCTTCCTCTCGTCATGTGATGTGGCCCAACCATTCAAAACAGGCCTGGCTTCCCAAACCTTGCGCGGGGAGGGGAATACTATCGCCAATATGCTGCACAGCAAAGGCACCCACCACCGCAGCCTTTCCCTCGCGGGTTCATAGACCTTGCATTTATGACTTAGTCCTCTGAGGCAAAGCCCAGAGGGAAAACGGACAGCAGTGGCTTCTGAGACTAATACCAGCAGGCGCCGCTTGCCAGGTGGCTGAGCGTGGTTCCTGCTGGGAGATGTAGTCCCGGCCGGGAGTGGGGGCGGGGGTTCGCTAACACGTTCCCGGGCTCGCGCTCGGCTCCGCCCTCTGCGCGGGAAAACGCCAACGGCTCGCCGAAGTGCAACGGCGTGGAGCCGGCTTCAATAGGAAGTTACCCAGCGCAGAAGGACCTCGGGGCTTCTGGCTTGTTAAGTGTGGGCGTTGAATTCTCTTTTACCAAGCCCCTTATGCATGAATTGATTAATATTTGACTGTTTACTTAATACAGCAATTTTTACTAAATCTTATAATCAACCCATCAAAGCAGGGATTGCTCCCTGTAAAGAAAGGCTTAGGGCGGCACCTGGCTGGCTCAATCGGTAGGGTATGCTAGTTTGGATCTTGGGGTTGTGAATTCGAGTTCCACCTTGAGTGTAGAAATTACTTAAAATATAAAATCTTTTTTTTTTTAGATTTTATTTAACTGACCAAGAAAGAACACAAGTGGGCAGAGCAGCAGTAAGAGGAAGAAGCAGACTCCCCGCCGAGCGGAGAGCCCAACGTGGGGCTCGATTCCAGGACCCTGGGACCATGACCTGAGCCGAAGGCAGCTGCATAACCGACTGAGCCACCCAGGCGCCCCTTAAAATATAAAATCTTAAAAAAATAAATAAAAAAAGGAAGCCTTAGAGAGGTTCAGTTGTTTCTACCTGAAGAGAGCCAAACCAGATTTTGTGTCTCCAATGAATAACCTTCCTCTCAAAGATCTGTTTTAACTCCATGAATTAAGCATCATTGAGGCGATAATGCTTTACACTTGTAGCATAGTATTTTGGAGTTAATTTTTTTAAGATTTTATTTATTAGAGCGTGAGTGAGAGAGAGCAGGAGCGGGCCAGAGGGCCATAGAGAAGCTGACTTCCTGGTGAACCGAGCCCAGTGTGCTCCATCCCAGGACCCTGAAATCATGACCTGAGGAGAGGCAGACGCTTAACCCACTGAGCCACCCAGGCACCCCAGTATTTCGGAGTTTAAAGTATTTTCCCGTTTACTGACCTATTTGATTCTCAAAGGCAGTATCCCAGGCTGGTTAGGTACACGGACTTTGGAATACAGCAGGCCTTGCCTCAACTTGAGCTTCCTTCCTTTGCAATGACACCACTTCACCAGGTTGTGAAAATTAAATGAGATCAGGTAGGGGCACCTGGGTGGCTCAGCTGTTTAAGCATCTGCCTTCGGCTCAGGTCATCATTCCAGGGTCCTGGGATCAAGCCCCACATTGGGCCCCCTGTTCAGCGGGGAACCTGCTTCTCCCTCTCTCTCTCTCTCTCTCTCTCTCTCTCTCTCTCTCTCTACCTGCCAGCTCTGCCTGCTTGTGCTCTTTCTTTCTCTCTAAAATAAATGAAATATTTTAAATAAATAAATAAAATGAGGTTATGTAAAGTGCCTGTTTGGCACGTAGTTAAACCCTCAATAAACAATAGTAATATTTTCACACCTGGTACGTACCCTTTGAGCACAGCAGATACAAAAGGTGGGAAAGGAATTAACATACACTGATCTTTGTGCAGGGCACTATACTAATTACTAGCTAACACCCTAGTTACTAATAGACTGTCGTAGGTTAAATTACTTGATGAATAACAATCGAAACCTTAACAGTTCTCAGTTCAAGGGAAGCCTTTGTTATAAATCTGAATTGATCAAAGAATGCTCAGGCTGAAACAAAAATTATCATGACCATTCATGTGTAGATGTATCTTACCTCTCCCTTTTGACAGTGAGCTGGAATTGTGCCTGGTCATTTCAGTCTTCCTCCTCTTTGTATTCCTGCTTTATAGAAATGTGTGGGAGAGTCAAAGATAAAACCACCCTTGAGAGGCAAAGACTTTTAATGGAAAGTGTACAAGAAAACAATTATGAAAACCTGATAACAGGATCTGTCTCTGTGGAATGGGAAGGGGGGTTTGTGATGAAAGGTGCTAGTCAAAAGGGACTTATCGGGATGCCTGGGTGGCTCGGTTGTTAAGCGTCTGCCTTCGGCTCAGGTCATGAGATTGAGCCTTGCATTGGGCTCCCTGCCCCTCGGGAAGTCTGCTTCTCCCTCTCCCCTCCCCCAGCTTGTGTTCCCTCTCTTCGCTCTCTCTCCGTCAAATAAATAAAATCTTAAAAAAAAAAAGGACTTATCTAATCTATATTTTTACATGAAGAAGGTACTGGTCTTTTAATTAAAGATAAACATCAAGAAAAGAGAGACCGGGGTGCCTGGCTGGCTCAGTTAGAAGAGCATGTGACTCTTGAACTCAGTGTTGTGAGAAGGAGCCCCAGGTTTGGTGTACATTTTCCTAAAAATACATAAACTTAAAAAAAAAAAAAAAGAGGGGCGCCTGGGTGACCCAGTCGGTTGAGTGTCTGCCTTCGGCTCAGGTCGTGGTCAGCGAGGAGCCTGCTTCCCCTCTGCCTGCCATTCCCCCTGCTTATGCTCTCTCCCAAATAAATAAATAAAATATTAAAAAAAAGATAGACTATGTGTTAGTTCTGTGACTTGTACAAGATATGTCACCTTTCCAGTCCCTCAATTTCCGCTTCTGTTATATTCAAAAATATCTGTCTTTTCTGTACCAGGCATACTATGCTGGATACTTTTGATAAATTACCATTTATCAAGGGAGACGTCCCACCTCAGATCTAGGATCAGAGAGAAAAATAAGGGCATCAAAGTCCTAAAACCTCACTGATAATAGTTATTACCACCTGGATGTAATAGAACTATCCTCTCACAATAGGCTCTCCTAGGGGATATCACTACCACCCATTCCCACCCAGCCTGACTCTGATACATTGACTCTGAAACTTATTTCACATCCTGTGACTGCAAAGAACACCACCATCCAATTCACCAATTTTTTGTTTAAGTACACTTGGCTGGACTGCAGTGAGAGCATAATGTGATAGAAAATACACTGGAGAAATTCTCAGAAGCCTGGGTTTTTAAGTCTGTAAACATGGCAGGCAATAAAGAAGGTGGGTGAAACCAGATGAAACCCATCTCAGAAAGAATCGGTAATGGGTAGCTGAGACTTAGGAAGATAAAATCAAAATGTATAAACTCCAAAGCAGAATTTTCGCAATCTAGATAAAGCTAATCACTGATTAAGTTCAAGTCTAATCTCCTGATTTACAGTACGTGATCATAATCCAATGCATTATACCCTGCAGAAGAATGTGATAACTGAGTGGGAATGGTCTGTATAGAATCTATTAAAAAAAAAAAAAAAGCCTTAAGAAGCAAAAATGTACACCATGCAGGGGAAAGGGTAGCCTGACTAACCAGCACATAGAACATTTTGGTCCCTTTGGCAGGTCTCTCTCTTTAGCAGATAGAGACGAATGATCCAGGCCTGTTAACCATAAAAATCACCCAAGATTCCCCTACCCATGTTCCATGTCAGGAGCAACCTTCTAATGAGAATTGGGCTTCTTGGGGTGCCCAGCTGAGTCAGTTGCTGGAGCTTAAGACTCTTAATCTCAGGTTGTGAGTTCAAGCCCCACATTGGACATAGAGCTTATTTAAAAAATAATAATAATAAAAATAAACAAGGGGCACCTGGGTGGCACAGTCAGCTAAGCGTCTGTCTCTTGGTTTCAGCTCAGGTTGTGATCTCAGGGTTGAGAGATAAGGACCCCATGTCAGGCTCTTTGATCAGCCAGGAGTCTGCTGGAGATGCTCCCTCTCCCTCTCCCCCTCCCCATATCTCTCTCTCTCAAGTAAATAAATCTTTAAAGTAGTGAAATTCTGCTTACTTTATATGGCACTGACAGGTTCATGCAAGGCACTGCCTATGAAAGTCCTCAGAAAATAAAAAATAATTGGACTATAAGAATCATAAGGAATTATTATTACCATGAAGAACATTATTTGATTTCATCAATACTTATATAACCCTAGTCAGTGGTTGAGGTTTGGGTCCTAGAGGAATCCAGGAAGGCCTGGATTCCTGGATCCTAGAACAAGGGTCAGCAAACTATAACTCATAGGCCAAATCCAGCCCATCTCCTGTTTTTCTACAACCCACTAGCGAAGAATTATTAGCCATTTTTCCTTTCTTTCTTTCTTTTTTAAATTAAGCTCTATACTTAATGTGGGGCTTGAACTCACAAACCTGAGATCAAGAGCCCCATGCTCTATTGACTGAGCCAGGCAGATGCCCCAAAGTCTAATTTTTTGTTGTTGTTGGTTTGTTTTGTTTTGTTTTGTTTTGTTTTGTTTTGTTTTGTTTTGTTTTAGGTGGGGGAGGAGCAGAAGAAGAAGGAGAGAGAGAATCTTAAGCAAGCTCCACGCCTAGCATGGAGCCTGATGCAGAGATCATAACCTGAGCCAAAATCAAGAGCCTGACACTTAACCAACTGAGCCACCCAGGTTCCCCTTGTTTTGTCTTAAAGTGAACGCTACACTCAATGTGGGGCTGGAAC